AACCCCAGTCAGCTTTCAGAAATGACTTAATTGTAGAGTTAGGGATAGCTGAGATTTAAGGTACATTCACTACCGGCCCATTCGGGGTGCCAAGGGCATTAGCTTTGTGATCTCTTGAAATCCCAGCAGCTGCCCTGGAGGGGTACAAATCTTTATCCCATTTTACGGACTACGCAGCTAAGCCATTGATTCGCTACATGGCAGTAGACAGATCTGCTGGACCACCATCCCCCCATCCTTCCCTCCTTGAGTCCATTTATCCCTCCACCTATCTCTCCCTCCCTTTCCGTCCATCCAGCATTCATCTATCCAGCATCCAGTCATCAAATCTGTTTTTGGTTCTCTCTGCACTCTGGGCTCCATTAAGTTAGGTTTGAAAGAATGTATAGGAACCGCTCAGATGGAAAGGGCATCCAAGGGGGCTGGAGAGATAACTCAGTGGTTAGAAGCACTGCCTGCTCTTGCAGACGACTTGGGTTCAGTTCCCAGCATCCACATGGCAGCTAACAATGGTCTGTAACTCCAGTTCCAGGGGATCTGACGCCCTCTTCTGACCTCCATGGGCATTGCACACATGTGGTACACATTTACACATACATAAAGGCAAAACACTTATACACATTAAATAAAAATAAATCTTTTTTAAAAAAGAAGAAAGAAGCTGAGCATGGTGGCACATGCCTGTAATCCCAGCACTTGGGAGGCAGAGGCAGACGGATCTTTGTGAGTTCAAGGCCAGCTTGGTCTACATAATGAGTTCCAGGACAGCTGGGGCTACAGGGAGACTCTGTCTCAAAAAGACCAAAAAAAAAAAAGAAAAGAAGAAGAAAGGGCATCCAGGAAGAGCACAGCTTGGACAACAGCATGAAGGTGTGAAATCTCATGATGTACCCAAGTGTGATGATTCATGCTTGTAATTCCAGACTAGCAAGGCTAATACAGAAGAATCAAGAGTTCAAGGTACATGCAAGCAACTTCGTGAGACATTGCTTCAAAAATCAAAAGTAGGGGCTGCAGAGATGGCTCAGCCATTAAGAACACTGGTTGTTCTTATAGAGAACCAGGGTTTGGTTCCCAGCACCCACATGGCAGCTAACAACCATCTATAACTCCTGTCCCAGGGTTTCCAACAACCTCTTCTGGTCTCTGCAGGCATTGTATAACACAGGTGTACTTACATACATGCAGACAAAACGCTCATACACATAAAATTAAAATAAATAAAAATGAACAGGGGCTGGGAGAGATGGCTCAAGGGTTAAGAGCACTGGCTGATCTGCCAAAGGACCCAGGTTCGGTTCCCAGCACCCATATCAGGCAACTCACAACTGCCTGTAACTACAGTTCTAGGGACTCTGATACCTTCTGATCTTCACAGGCACTGTACACGTGTAGTCCACATACAGATAAGCAGTCACACATGCATACACATTAAAAAATCAAAAGTACAAAGACAAAAAGAAGAAGGAAACTGACTCAGAATGTGACCATCAGACAGGAGCATCTATGGAATGACTCCTGTATGCAGGGCACTGTTCTGATGGCGCCAGGAATGTAGATGTGTCATCATCTTTATCCCCTGTCCCTGCCTCAGGGAGTTTTTCAGGCTGGTTGAGGAGACAGTGAGTTCCATTGGCTAAACTGAGGATTTTGAAGCAGCCGGTAGAGCTCCAAGGTTTAGGGGAGGGTGGAACCCTGGAAGTCCACTAAAGAGAGAGTCCAGCCATTACACTGCCCTGGAAATCCCCACTGCAGAGAGCATGCATGCTGTTCCAGGTGGGGGACTGAAGAATTCAGAGACAGAGGAGGAGAGAGAAACCCCAGAAGGTGCACTGGGTCCAGACTGGCTAAGATCCCAGCTCTAGTTTTCCTGAGTACATTTGTTACCCCTGTACAGTGAGAGCAGGAACTGTCCATCTAATGGGGAGTATTGAAAACTAAGGGGGTCAGCATGACAAAGTCCTTAGACCTGAGCCTGACACAACTTAGTAAGCCCTTTATAAGCACTTGGCTCTAACTGTCCTTTTTGATTATATCTGGCTCTTGACCAAAGGCAGAAGCAGATCAAAGCTGGGGTGGGGAAACCAGTGTCAAATTTCTTGTAGGTGGTCTGCCTGTGCCCAGCTCTGAAGTAGAGTTCTAGCCAAGCTAGGCACCTGAGCGGTCAGGTGAGGCACAGACACACACACACACACACACACACACACACACACACACACACGCTCACCCTAGGGTTCCACCTGCCTGTCCTGGAAGCCTTGCCTGCTGCAGTGGCACTTAGGCCCTGAGGGCTCCTTGGGGCCTTTACAGGGTAATTCCATCTTCATTAGAGTAGATTATGTCGCAATAAATACCATGTTCCAGGGCTACTTTATGAGACTCACTAGGGAACTTTCCCCCTTAGCATCCAGTCACCCAGAGCCAGCCAGGAGAGCAGAAGGGACGGAGTGCCAGCAAGTGGGTAACTAAAGGCCCCCACTCCCTACCCTCCTACCACCTCATACGCCTCTCCTTCCCACCAGCTTCTGGTCCTGCTATGTGCTGTAGGGACACCTAGCTTTGTGCTCAGTCCCCAACTGCAGCACACACCTTTGGATAAATGACCCGAAGCCATTGGGGTCTGACTGTAGCCTAGCATGTGTGTGTGGGCAACCATTTGGGGCTATGCATTAAACCCATACTTTGTACAAAGATTAGTCAATGCTACACAGGGAAACTTTAGCAGAGAGCTGACGAACAACACTTTTTTCATTCATAAGTTTATTCATTCAGCAAATTTTTTTTTTGCTGAATACCTACTAAGTGCCTACACTATTTTTCACAAACATCCTTGCCCTCCACAATGTATTTTCTAGAATCATACTTAACATACAGAGTCTGTGAAAGGCAGGCCACACACATATACAAACAGGGTCTTACAATGAGCTCTCAAGGCTGAATATATTGGTGCATACCTGTAATTCCAGCAACTGGGAGGTAGAGGCAAGAGGATCAAGAGTTCAAGGCCAGTCTCAACCACATAGTAAGTTAAAGACTAGCCTGGGCTACATGAGATCCTGTCTCAAAGATCAAATCAAAACAAAATAAAAGCAACTCACAGAAAGTTTTACAACAGTGTCTCTAGTGTGTCCTACAGAACATATAACGGTACCGTATCATGTACTAAACACATGGACAAACTCATCTCTACACACATGCACGTGCCTATCCACAGGACCCAGGCACACCACATTCCTGCCTCCCCAAATGTGACTTCCTCTTGCTGAACCGCATGTAACAGTAATAACAGCTGAGATTTGACTAGCACTTTCTGTGTCCCAGTCTGTGCGGTTTTCATGCATGACCTTATTTGATCTTCACAGTAACCCTCCCAAGTCAGTTCTTAGTCTTCCTGATGAGCAAATGGAGGCTCAGAGAAGTGAAATGACTTATCCAGAATCTCACTGGCTGGCTGCACAGCCTATGTCCTCCACTGTAGTGAAGCAGGCACACCCACACAAATCCTCTCACACACTTGTATACACACTAACACTTGCATCAACACACACATCCACACTCAATTTTATTCTTCTTCTTCTCCAGCACACACTGTCTCCACAGACACTTACATTCTCAGAGGACCAATGCTTTTCTCCCATCATCCTGATCAAAGGCTTTAATTAACCCCAACACCTGTAATTAACCCTTCCTCTCCCCCTTCAGGAGAGATGTCTGGACCCGCTTCTCAAGGGCAGGAACCAAGGCCAAGATGTCCACCTCTGGTGGGGAGGACCTGGTACCCTAGTAACACCATATGGGGCCAGGTGGACAGGGCCAGGAGGGTCAGAGAGAAGGAAGTGGCAGAAGGAGCTGTGGAGAGCCAGTCCTGCTACAGCTGTTCTTCCCTACTGGCCAAACAGTAGTTGGGCAACAGGCAGCTGTGGGTGCCTGGGCTAGCTGGCTTCAGAGACACATTTCCCATTTGTTTCAGTAACTAATGCTAGCTGCTTCTGTCCAGAGGGAAGATGAACTCAGGTCTGAGGAACCTTGGCAGAGAAAGGGCAGGTGGGAGGCAAATGTCTCCAGAGTATCAAAACATACCAGCTCATTCTGCCATTCAAGGATGGGGGTGGGGGTGGAGGGGTGGGGGTGGGGGGTACTCTGCTGGAAGTCAGAGTCAGAGGTCCAGAGAGGCACCCACAATGCTGTGTGCTGGGTCCCCAAATTAGGGCAGTGGTTAAAGCAGAGCCCACCCAGATTCAAATTCTGCCTCTGGGACCTGTAAGTTGTGCAACTTTGGGGCATATTCTACAAATTCTTGGAGTCTAGTCTCAGTTTTCTCCCAAGATAGATACTGGCCTCCCAGATAAGAATTAAACGAGACAGTTGCATATCTGATCTGACGTAGTCCCAGAGGCACCTATAGAGGTTCCTGGGGACAGAGATGCTTTTGACCTTCCTGGGTATGACATACCTCTAAGGAGGTCCCGGGAACTCTCTCTCTCATTCTCTCTCTCTCTCTCTCTCATTCTCTCTCTCTCTCATTCTCTCTCTCTCTCTCTCTCTCTCTCTCTCTCTCTCTCGTTTTATTTCCAGGCTCCTCTTCCAGGCCTGCCCCTAAGGAGACATCTACTTCTTGGACCACCAACTCACTTCTGCCCAGGTCTTTAAGCCAAAAGGGCAAAAAGCGAGGGCGGAGGATGGCTCAGCGCAGATCCATTGCCACATCTGGTCTAAGGATCCCCGACTCAGAGCTCTCCGGGGACTAACACGTGGAGGCGCTGGCACTTAGAAGCGCACAAACTCCGCAGGGTCCGGGTGTGTGTATGTGTTGGGGCGGGGGGAGGGACGCCGGTATGCGCATAAGCCCCTTACAATCTTCTCCAAATCCCTACCCCCGCCCCCCCCCGCTCCCTCCCACTTCCCCTCCCTCCTGTCCCAGTGCCAGCCCGGCCCCTTTAAAGACATTCCTGAGGGCGTGGTTTCGGTGACGTCAGCGCGGGGCATGAATGAACAGGAGCGGGTTCTCACCCAACTTCCATTAAGCACTTGGGGCAGGAGGGTCAGAAGTTGTGCGCTGCGGGCGGGCAGGAGCGGGACACCGAGGCTGGTGTGCGGGCACCGGGCATCGCGTGGCAGCGGAGATCGGACTGAGAGCGAGGCGCGCGGCATGGAGGTTCGGGTAGCCGGCGCCTGCCTGGCGCTACTGTGGGGCTGCGCGCTGGTGGTGGCCGCGGCGGCGCAGGGAAAGGAAGGTGAGAGGCGGGAGCCCGCCGGGACCCTTGGGGGACCCCGGGACCCCCGAGCCTCCTGGAGCCCGGAGCGCCTGCACCCGGCGCAGCTTTGGAAACTGGCGGGTGGCTGCCGGGTCCAGGCGCGTTGGGGTCAGGAGGGCGCACGAGCTGCGGTCGGGGTCTCCCCCCAACCCCCCACTTTGGGATCGTAGCGACTCCCGGGGCCTTGGAGCGCGCAGGGCTCGGAGGCTGCGGAGACCCGGACGCGGCAGCCGCCACACGGTGCTTGCGACCGGGCGAGGGGCGCAGGGTCCCTCGGAGGAAGGGGGCGTCTGAGCACGCTTTCCGGGCCATCAGCGTCTTAGCAGCCCAAGTTCACTTAACTCATCTGCTCCGATTTTGCAGAGAAGGCGATTCGTTGAAGGCCCCGATTCTTGGGGAGGGGGTTCTCGGCTGCCTGCGGGCGGGCGCTGCCAAACACCTGCTGGGTGGGGGTTTCTCTGCGCCCCGCTTTTGCCTCCCATCCAGAGGTGAGAACCCGGAGCTCTTGGGGTCCATCCTGGAGGCCCACACCCTTCCCCTGCCCCAGCCGCACTCCCAGTCTCCGGAGACAGGTTAGGGGCCGGGAGCGAGGACAGGAAGTCCCAAAGTCAAGTGTTCTGAGCAAGGGGTGACTCAGTACGTGGATATGCTGCAGGTGGGGCTGCGGCCTCCGAGGTGTGAGGAGCCATCACCTCTGGGCCACCCGGAGCCCGGGCACCTGGAGGTGGGGGACTGAATCACCCGCCCCCGCCCCAGCGTTCCTGGAGCCATGCTGGGTGAAGGTGGGGGGGGGGCGCAGACTTGGACTTTGCCCAGGGCGGGGCCCATGTGTGGCTGGGGGCGTTGTCCCTCTGCTGGGGTAGCCGAAAGGATGGAGGCTCCTGCCCTTGGCCGAGGACCTTTTTGTCCCCCCACCCCACCCCCCCAGCCCAGGCTGGCTTCCGTTTCCCACTGCAAGAACTTTTCCCTGCCTGCCGCGGCTCCTGCAGGCTCCACCAGGGGGAAGCGAGGAGGAAACCCTGGTGGGTGAGAAGTTTCCTTTTTCTGCCTCCCCACTTGGAGATTCTACCCTTCCATACTGGAAGGATAAAAGGCCAGTCTGGAGCTCTTGGAGGGTGGGGAGTTGGGGCTAGGGGTGTCACATCTTCGCCAGATTCCTAGGAGATACTACTCCCCAGGTCCCGCCCTGAAACTGTGGTTGTCAAGGTGTGCGCGACTGGTCAGAGATTTCTGCGACCCTCGTTACTTCCTCCCTTCCCCCACTTCAACTTTTGGTTCACCTCCTTCCTGGGAATTTGGTTGGAGAGAACGGGAGACAGCTGGAATTGCTACAGGCCTTTCTTGGACTGCTTTCGAGTTGAAGATTAGACGTTTGCTTTGCTTTGCCGGCCCCCGGGGCCCCAGCAGGGAAGCCCGGAGCAGCCTGGTTCTTGTGCCTCTGGGTGCATCTGTCCCCCTCACCCTAGCCTTTATGATTAATCCAGTTCCGTACGGCATGGAGGAGAGAAGGGAGCATATTGTCTTGTGGTTGTGGAGAAATCTTGTGTAGGCTCCAGGGTCCCTGGGAAAAGCTCTCCAGGTGCTGTGCCTGTGTAGGGCAGGTGGGGAATCCCAGCCCAGCTGACAGAGGCTGGTTTCACTTCCCTCGGGTTCAGGCTGGATGTGCTGGGTCCCCCTGGAGAGTAGGCCAACAGCAGGTAGGAGGGCTTTTCATGTCCTCTTGACCCAGCTGCCTGAACTCCCTTTCTTTACTTAGTTTAGGAACCCAAGGGGAGCCTGTTAGGTCCTTAACAACTCCTGTATCTTATTTTTTATACAGTGACTTCAGTTTTTTATTACTTTTATTTATCTCTTGTGGGTGGCTGGAGAGGGGGGATGAACATGCCATAGCACGTGTGTGTGGAGGTCAAAGGACAACTTACAGGAGTTGGTTCCCTCCTACCATGTGGCTTCTGGGGATGGAACCCTGGCTTTTACCTGCTGAGCCATCTCACTGCCCTTGCACTTACAAATGGGGGGAGTGTGGGAGGTCTGACACTGGCCTGCCAGTGCCTTCTACACAGAGGGTCTGGCTTCTCAATCTCCTGAAACTGCTGGCCACTTACTGGGGTGCTGGGATGGAAGGGGGTTACTGTCTCAAGAGGCCTAGAGAGCGCTGGGCTTCTTGGTTCTGCAAAGGCCCTGTCTGCTTTCCAGTCCCTTCCCTTTTGCATCCAGTGTCCAGCCTGCCCCCTTCCTTTAGGTGTAAGCTGATCTTGGGTAAAGACCTTAGGAGGAGGTGGCAAGGGGGGGAGCGTATTGCACTGTGGGAAAGGCTATAAAGCAATGTGGAGACAAGGGTGACATTATGGTGGCGAGATGTTTTTTCTTAGTGTCTCTTGGGGGACAGAGGAGTTATGGGGTGCCCAGTCTAGGCCAACTTTTTGATGAAGCTCCTAATGGGGGAGTCATGCTGAGGGCCTCCCAAGTTCCCTGCTTCCAACAAGCCCTGCTTCCAACAAGCCGGGGCCTCTGATTGCCTGAGCCCAGGGCCTCTGTCAGGGCAGAGAGATGGCTGGGCTCCCTCGTTCCTGGTGGTTGGTTCTAGGGAATTTCCATGGGAGGGGGCTGTGGTGGGCAGGCCCTGAGGAGGTGCCTTCCTGCATGAAGCCTTCTTTTCTTCTCTGATTGAATCTGGTGATAGTTCTAGACCAAGCCTGGGCTGGCCCTCCTGTCAGGTTAACCCTTCAGAGCCAGCCCCTCCCTGATGGGCACAGCCTGAGGTTTCTGTGCTACAGAGTGTGCAGGTGGTGTGTGTGTGTGTGTGTGTGTGTGTGTGTGTGTGTGTCTGTGTGTGTGTGCCTGTGTGTGTATGTTTGTTGTGTTGAAGTGCTCTTGGGTTGGATGTTGTTTTAGAAGGCAAAATAATAGCTTTGAACTCTCCAGAGTACCATCAACCAGTCTTTCAGTTCTACAGGGTGGAGGTTTAGGTTTCACAGCAGACCACCCATGAAGAAATAAAAACAGCATCTAAGCCTTCAAGCAAGTTTTTTACTTAGAATTATGTGTGTGTATGTGTTGTGTGTACTGGGAGGAACACTCACCTTCGTCCTCCTACCCACCCAGCTGGATTCAGGAACCCCCAGATTCCTTCCTGTGCAGTTGGAACATTCCACTTGCTAGTGGGGTTAGTGAGTTTTCCAAGCTTGGGACCTGGGCATGTCTGAACAAATCCCTGCCCTTACCCACCTCACCCACCACTCTCCCCAATCCACACCCTCTGCCGGCTGCCATGGGGCCCTCCACTTCAGACTTCCTCTTCCTTGTCTGAACTGTCAGACCCTTCCTAGAGAGATGTGGCAGAGGCCAAAGTCAGGGTGACAGTGCTCAACCCCAGGGCCTTCACCAGGTCAGAGGCTGGCTAACCGCAGAAGGATTTTCTTTGTTCTTTTTCTTTCTTCTCTTTCTTTCTTTCTTTCTTTCTTTCTTTCTTTCTTTCTTTCTTTCTTTCTTTCTTTCTTTCTTTCTTTCTTCTTCTTATTATTTTTTTTTGAGACAGGGTCTCACTGTGTAGCCCTGGCTGACGTGAACTCCCTGGGTAGACCAGGCTGACTTCGAAATCAGAGCTCCATCTACCTCAACATTGGTTGTTCTGTTTTTGGAGACAGGGTCTTATAGAGCTCAGGCTGGCCTTGAACTTCTGATCCTCCTACCTCCACCTCTGGGAATATAGGCTTATGCCTCCACACCAGATTTATGCTGTGCTGGGGATCAAACCCAGAGCTCTGTGCATGGTAGGCGAGCAGTCTGTCAACTGAGCTACACTCCGGCCTTCTTCATTATTCTTTTATTGGTGCTGGGATACGGATCTGGGGCCTTGTACATGCTAACTGTCCACTCTACTGCTGAACTACATATCCTCAGGGCTGTGACCCCTCCAACTCATCTCCTATCTCTGGAACCTCAGCCTGCCTCAGTTTCCCCTGGTGAGTCATTCTCCCAGGTCTGGATATGGAAGAGTTTTGCTTCTTGGGGCCAGATCTCCAAGCTGCAGGGACCTAGAAAGTGATTACAGTCTCTTCTCCCTCCGCCATAAGGCTTTGCCTTCCGACTGTGAGAACCTTACATAGGTTCCAAGCCTTAGTTTCCCCAGCCTCCTTGCTCTCCAGGAAGCATGACACTTATTAAGCATGACTTAGCCTTTACTTGGATATGGAGGAGGGACAGAGCCTTGGGTCTTGGCTGCAGTCACTGAGCCTGGCAGAGAAGCAGAGGTGGCCCCCGAGGCCGCCCGAGGGCAAAGCCAGGTTAGGGAAGCCCCTGGCAGAGAATCCCTCTGCCCAGCTCCAGATGCCTCTTGGGGGAAGGAGTGTGGTCATGGCACCTGGTTCCTCTGGGCCTGGAAAATCCCCTCTGAGGGTTTCCATCCACCACCGCCATGTGTGTAGCTTCGGGCTTCTTCTAGAGACCTCTGCGGGTTCAGAGCCCGTCTGCTCCTCCATGGTTTTGTGGTAGGAAGATCAGTTTTCCGGTGCCCTCCTTTCCATAGAGCTGTTCCCACCTGTTAACAGCCCTTTCTTATGGAATACCAGAGACACACGTACCTATGTACTGATGTGTGTGCTGAGTGGCCCCGAGTTGGGTCAGGGGTTTTATGCCAGGGGGATGTGACAAAAACACCCAAGGCAGATGGGGTGGCAGGTGTCACTTTATACTCTGCTCTCCCCAGTGCTCTGCCCAGTGACTGCTCTCCCTGTGTGCATCCTGCTCTGCCCGGTTCGAGTCTCCTCAAGGGGGCAACATAGCTGCCACGGGTCTAGTCCTGTCCCTGGTCTGTTGTGTGGCACTGAGCCCCACCTCTTCCCAGGTCAAGGCCACTGTGGCCACCTCGAAGCAGACCTACTCACCCCTTTTCTATCTCTCCTGCAGTTGTTTTGCTTGACTTTGCTGCAATGAAAGGGGAACTCGGCTGGCTTACACACCCCTATGGCAAAGGCGTAAGTATAAACTCCAGGGCTGGGGGTGGGTGGGAAGGGGGCTGCTAGTGCCTGGAGAGATGGAGGATGGGGGTCTGGTTCAGACCCAACAGTTCAGCCAAGCTTCAAACTGTTCCCCTGCATTGGACTGAGTTAGTGGCCCAAACCATGGCAAACTGGAACTGGGCAAAAGTGAAGGGACCTTGAGGGTGGCTCAGCTGGGGAAACGGTTGAAGGCCTCAGCAGAGTGGGACCCTTAGATGCTCCAGAGGGGCTCATGGCTCTCTCCACCTTTCTCTTGGAGGGAAGGGTTAAAGGCTGTAGTCTTGGAGGTCTTAGCCCAGGAGGTGAAGAGTAAAAAAGATAAGGGACAGTGACTCCCTCCTGCCTGGCCTCTTTCTCCCACTCATCAGCTGTTTTTGCCCTTGCTGATGCTCTGCCTTACTCCCAGCAGGGATTTCTCCAGTCCAGCTGTGACCCTGGGAGCAACCAGTGTGTGTGTGTGTGTGTGTGTGTGTGTGTGTGTGTGTGTGTGTGAGGTAGCAGTTGTACCTTGGGGAAGATACTGCTGTGTCTTGGGCCTCAGTTTCCCCCTCTGTACGATGTACCCTTGCTTACTTTGCCTTAGGGCTCTGAGCCAGAGAGAGGGGTGTCTCCAGGGAGCTCTTTGGGGCAGTTCCTACAGCTGGCCAGATCTGAATGACTCTGGTGTCTCTCTCTAGTCACGGCGCCAGTGAGGCCCGAAGTGTAGCTATGAGCAGACTCCGAGGGGCCTTGGAATGTTCAGCTGGAGGCAGGTAGCCTTATCCAACCCAGTCATTATACAGAGTGGGAAACTGAGCCTGGGGGCATGTGGGTCTTGGCCAGTGTTTCACAGTGCAAGCCAGGCCTCTTTCATCGCCTCCTGGCTGCCTTCATTTAATTACTCATTAATTTTTTCCTTCCTTCCTTCCTTCCTTCCTTCCTTCCTTCCTTCCTTCCTTCCTTCCTTCCTTCCTTCACATGTTCGTTCATTCATCCATGATCTTCCTAACTAAGTACCCACTCTGTGCCAGGGAGGCGCTGGGGATTTAGGGCTGAGTCAGATGTAGCTCCCTAACTAAGAAGTTCAGAATTCAGCCTGGGAGTCAGGGGGATGTCACCATGTGCCCTGCAAGTTCTATGATCAAGGAAACATGGAGATTGTGAGGGTGCATGGTCCCACCCGAGCCTATGCTGGGAAGTCTTTCTGGAGGAGGCTGAACTGTATATTAAGCATGAACAGATCAACTCCAAGTGCTGGAGGCTCATCCATTGCTTTGATGTCACCGCTTTTCTGGCTGCTGTACCTGGACAATGGCACAGTGTTTGTGATGGCCATAGCTATAATGACACAATGGCTCTTACCCCAGGCCAGGTGTTGTGCTCAGCATTTTGTCATTTATCTTTAGACCAGTCCTATGAGGTAGGGCATATGGCTCCCAATGTATGGATGGAGACCCTTGGCTCAGAGTGCCCAAATGACGAATGATTACACAGTGCCCCAGACTCCACCCCAGGCCCACAATCTGATAGGGAGTCTCAGCACCTAGATAATAGGGCCAGAAAGACCCACGGACATAGATCTTGGCCCAGCTGCTTTGAGTAAAACCTCCACTCCTTTCCTTCCCTGTAGAATGGGGACAGTGAGAGCCAGTGGTACATGCCTATAATCCTAGCACTTGAGAAATGGAGGCAGGAGGATCAAGAGGTCAGGGCCATCCTTGGCTACATGGTGAGTTCCAGGCCAGTCTGAGCTGCAAGAATACTGTCTCAATAAGATTAAGAAAAAGAAATAAAGGGAAAGGAAAGAATTGTTTAGCATTACTCCTGTGCCCTGTTCTGCGACCCGGGCCACAGTCTCTCTGGAACTAACTCTCACCTGTCACCCCACAACAGTGGGATTTAATGCAGAACATTATGAACGACATGCCCATCTACATGTACTCGGTGTGCAACGTGGTGTCCGGCGACCAGGACAACTGGCTCCGCACCAACTGGGTGTACCGAGAGGAAGCTGAGCGTATCTTCATCGAGCTGAAGTTCACAGTGAGAGACTGCAACAGCTTCCCAGGCGGTGCTAGCTCCTGTAAAGAAACCTTCAACCTCTACTACGCTGAGTCGGATGTGGACTATGGTACCAACTTCCAGAAGCGCCAGTTCACCAAGATTGACACCATTGCCCCTGACGAGATCACAGTCAGCAGCGATTTCGAGGCTCGCAATGTCAAGTTGAACGTGGAGGTTCGCACCGTGGGGCCGCTCACCCGCAAGGGCTTCTACCTGGCATTCCAGGACATTGGTGCCTGTGTGGCGCTGCTCTCTGTCCGTGTCTTCTACAAGAAGTGTCCCGAGCTGCTGCAGGGCCTGGCCCACTTCCCCGAGACCATCGCCGGCTCTGAGGCACCCTCTCTGGCCACTGTGGCTGGCACCTGCGTGGATCATGCTGTGGTGCCATATGGGGGTGAGGAGCCTCGTATGCACTGTACAGTGGATGGCGAGTGGCTGGTACGAATTGGGCAGTGCCTCTGCCAGGCAGGCTACGAGAAGGTGGAAGAAACCTGCAAGGGTGAGTGGAGGTTCCTAGGGGGCCAAGAAAGGGGCACTGGGGTGGGAAGTTGCAGCCATGGGACTAGGGCATATCTTGGGAAGCTCATGGTGGGCAGTGGCCCTGTAATAGGAAGCTGCAATTCCCTGTTCATTCCTGGATTCCCTCCTTCTTGGAGAATGAATGTCTTGAGAAGCCAGACAGTGTGGGGATTATGAACCAGGGCTCTAAGACAACAATGCCTGGGCTCCATTCCCAGCTCTACATTTAGCCATGGGAGTTTCGTCCATTTCCTTCACCCCTCTGCCTGAGTTTCATCATCTGTAAAGTGGAGAGGGTCATAGTATCTGTCTTGAGGGGGGGTAGTTGTGATAATCACATGACCTCATGCTTGTAAAGTGCTTAGGTCAGTGCCTGACACATAAATGCCTGTAAGCGTAACTGTTATTTTTGATTCATCTCATGACTACTAGTTCCTGCTTTGCTTGGGCACTGCAGTCTAGTCTCAGGAGCTAGTTCTGATTCTGTTAACTTGCTGTGTGACCTCAGGCAAGTTGCCCAACTTCCCTGGGCTTCTCAGCCTCCTTGTTAATAGATGTTGTTGGTTCAGACCCAGGATCTATATGCTAGAATCAACTAGAGAGTGGTGAAAGGAGGTACAGTTGGCTACAGACCCAGTTCCTCTGATGGGGTGTTACTGATGACACGTTGAGAGCACAAAGGGCCTAGTTCTGATAAACTCTCTGGTAACAGTTCTGGGCATTACTGGGTTTACACAGAGGAGGCTCTGGTTTGGGTGGCAAAGGCCTGTGCCACCGGAAATGTGCAGCACCTCAGATTTGCGATGGATGACTCTGGAAGCACTGTGGGGCAGGGCATGTGAGGAATGCGGCTGACCTTTGGAAGGCCACACATCCCCTCTCCCTGGGAGCTGCTTTGCTGAGATAAGGCCGCTGTTGAGAAATTGGGAGCTAGGGCCTTGGGTTCCTTGTAAGCGCACATACCTGCTGGGTGACCCTGGGTAAGTCCCTCCTCATCTCTGCCCTCAGGTTTCCTATGAGCAAAATGAAAAAATTCTCTTCTATCTGTAGATGATATACTTGCATACCACAATGGTGGCTAAAGTACTAGAGGACCCTGAAGCCCTTGCTTATGGGTGCCTTATGCCTCCCTGGGCAGATCTCAGAACCTTGTTTAAACACAGTGTATAAGCCCCTGGGTGAAGAGTTTCGAATGCACCTTTCTGGCCATGTGATTATAGAGCTCTTCCCATCACCCCTGTTGTCCTCCCAGCTGCTCACTGCTGAGAGCCCCCTTCTCTAGGCAGCCCCTGCTTAGGTGACCTCAAGTGCACACAGATCAGACAACGATCATGGAAGCAGGGGGGAGGACACATGAAGACCAGGGGGTCCATAAACCCCTCCCATATGACATCTTCACACAAGAATGCGGGGTGGGGGTGGGGGGGGTGGCGGAAGGGCAGCTGAAAACTTTCCAGCCTAGTGGTTCAGGCCCTGCTGAGATAAGTGGGGGTTCTGGCTTGGGGGGCAGTCCTCCAGGCATCTTGGGGCAAAGGGAGTGGCTACCTCCCCTTGAATAAAAGGTCAGGGTACTTGGCAGGCTTTGTTTGTAAAGAGTCAAGCCACCCCCCTTGGGAGGACTCGTTGCCGAGAGGGACGGTTGACTTAGCCAGCCAGACCTTCTCAGCTGCTAGCCACACGCCATCTATTGCCCTGGTTTTACTGTCTTGGCATCCCCCTCCTGGTGGGGTAAAGGTGCTTTACGTGCAAGCCTGGCACCCTTAGTTCAATTCTCTGAATCCACATAAAGGTGGAAGGAGAGAGCCAACTTCACAGAGTTGTCCTCTGACCTCCATCATGACCTCCGTGACATGTATGTGACAATCATAATAAATACAGTTAAGTTCAAAATTCCTTCCCCTGCAAACTGCTCAGCAGCACTTAGGTGGTGACACGGATGGGGATGACGACAACATGTTCTGAAAGCTTTGTCTGAATATGCCTTTCACATCCTTTCAGTGAGGCTGGGACTGTTGTCAGTCCCACTGACTAGATGGGGAAGTTGAGGTTCAGAGGCTCCCCTGGAGTCACATAGCTATGTCAGGGTTTGAATCCCAGTGCACCAGACCGCCATGGGTCAGGAAGTGGGGCGGGAAATGACCAGATCCTGTGGAATCCCTGACTCAGCTCCGGGCCCTGAGATGGGCTCTCTGGGCAGTGCTGGGATGGCAGGTCCTGGCACTCAGGCTGAGGTTTCATCCGAGGGAGGGTGACTAGAAGGCCATCACTCAGCATGGTGGGGACATGGTAGGAGATCTTTCCTCCCTGTTGGCCTTCCCCAGGCCACAGCCCCAAGCTTTCCCATTATAAGCATCCCCTGATGAGAGAGGGGACGTGGTACCCCAAGGCAGCTTGTCAGGAACTCCCAGTGTCATCTGGCTGCTCGTCTGTTTCTCCTTGGGATTCTTTCGCCAAGTGGGCCAGAGTCGGTCAGGAAGGAGTTAAGTGGACAGCAGAAGGGAGGCACCTCCCAGGTACAATGTGGACAGGTGGGCACGCTGCCCGGCTGAGCTACTGTGAGCTATGCCAGGAATGAGCCAGCCCACCCCCCAGTCCCATCCAGGGGACAGTGGAGTCACTCAGGCTGACCGCCATCTCCCCCCGGGGCTGCTTTGTCTCAGCTGAGCTGGCGGGGGCCCCTGGCTGGCGCCTCGGCCCAGGAAGACCCAGGCCAGGTGAGCAGGTGGCCAGCGGCCTCCTCCAGAGGCTCAGCCCAGCAGCTGGGAGACAGACTCCGTTGGGGGAGTCCTTTCCCAGCTCCAGTTTCACAGCCCCCTCCTATTCACAGGGACTTTTCATTGCAGGCACCAGAGTAAATATCTTCCTGGCGGGATCTCCTATAGTCTGCAAAGCTAGAACAAGTGAGGACTGTGTCCCATTTTACAGCTGAGAAAACTGAGACCCAGAGAGAAAATAACGATCAAAGAATGGGGGCCTGGTTCCAGCAGGGAAGTCTCCAGCTGCTTCTAGAGTGGCATAGCTGTGTCAAGGCCCATGTGGATCTCATCCTCACTGAATGTGTGGCTCCAAGGAACCCTGTGATCAGACGCTAGTTGCTGTCACTTTCTGGAGTAGCTTGGTCTGAGCTGTTGCACGTGACTTACTACATATAATGAGAAGAGAGCCCTGCACTGGGATCTGAGTGGCCCAGGCCCAGCCTGAGGTCCACAGCAGTGAGGGAGTTTTTCCTGGGCAGAAGGTGGCCCTGGGCTATGGCTGGCTGGCACGAGAGCCTGGTGGGACTGGGGGCTCTATGGCCTCTTGCTGGCAGATTTCAGGCTTGTGCTTTCCCTAGTGTGTGATGCTGGGCCTTATTTCTGTGGGCTGCAGGGGTAGGGGTCATGGTGGCAATCATCCAATCCTACCCTTGTGTAGTTCTGACTTCCGTGCTCCCAGGGACAGGTCTGGCCAGGCAGGCTCAGCCCCTCCCTAGTCACCGGAGGTAAGGAGGTAAGCGGGTCCCCAGAACGGAAGGAAAGAGGCAGGGAAAGCAAACAGAAGATAAAGGCTGGAGGTAGAAGAGCTGGGTGGGCGGAGGGGAGGGCTTAGCTTATCGGCTAGGTGGCGGATGTGTCCACAGATAGGTCCCAGGGTGTGTATGTAAGGGACAGGCCCCTGAGAACGAGAATGGGGCCCCCCATTTTCTGCAGGTACCCCAGGGGCCCTCAGTAACTAGTTCAGTAACTCACAAGTTCACTGTCAGGGCAGAGAGACAAAGTCCAGACTCCGTGTGCTGAGCCGAGGTGGTGTGGTGGATGGTCACTGTTGTTCCTGGCTCAGAGGTGAATTGCCACCATGACCGACCTCGACCTCTTGACTTCATGACCTTGCCACCCAAGGCCTGGGAGGTGGTTGGGCCTGGAGGAGGGGTTCTACCGTGGAACTTGGATTAGTGCTACACAGAGGGCGTCTGTCCCTGAGTCACCCTGCGCTGCCACCTGAGGGCGGGCATCGGGAACTGGAAAAACCGGGGTACAGCCCTAGCTGCAGCTTCTGTGCCCCAGTTCCCTGCTTGGAATGGCCTGGGCCTGCCAGGCAATTGGGGCCAGAGACGCGTTCCACAGGTGCGCCCCAGGTGCACCCAAGCCAGGCTCTCGTGCCAGCCAGGTGGGTGTCCAAATGGATGGTAAACCCTGGGTGCTCAAACCCCACTCATCTCTGGAGCTCTTGGCAGGTTTTAATCATGGTGGGTTCTGTCACGTTCTTCATTACCACCTTTATTCACTCCTTCATTCCTCGCTCCATTTATCCAAGACCCATCAGCTGAGTACCTACATCACACCAGGCCCTGCACTCAGCCATGTATAGACCAGACTCCCTTCCTTCTCTCCCAGCAACTGCCAGTCTCAGAGAGAGAGGATCCTCATGTGCACAAATAATTTCAAATGAGGCATAAAAGCTAGGCTGTGAATTCCCCTGGAGCTGAAAGATGCTAATCTGTCACATCACCCCATCTCAGTTCTCAGCATCATGCCAGACACGTAGGACGAGCTCATTTCTGTTTGGTAAACATTAGCTTAGGCAATAACATGCCCTAATGGAGTACTGGGGCCCAAGAACTGAGCAGTTTGGGAGGACCTTAGAGGAGTTAAGCTGGGTATTGAAGGATGCATAGGAGTTCGCTTGTTGGCTAGGGGACAACCAGTGGGTATTTGGTGTGGTAGATGTGTTTGTGTGTGTGACCCCTGTTCTTATTTGATTGCTCAGGTTACCAAGAGATTCAAGCAATTCAGAGACTGCCCATGGTCCTCATGTACTCTGGGACCTCCCCCTGAGCACTTGCAAACTCTGGCAGGCAGGGCCTGGGGGCTCCCCAGAGCTCTGTGGTTGGAGGAGGGGGGCAGTGCATTTTCGGCAGGCAGGCGCATGCCCTGTAGATGCCGCCTCTCTTGCATTATCTGGCACATCCGTAAGCGGAAATCTCTCCAAATTCCCTCTTTCCTGCCTGCAGCAGGCAGGCCACCCCCAGGCTCTGGGGCCAAAGAATGGAACCCATCTCTTCCCCCACTTCCTCTCTTGGCATTGGACAGTGGGAAGCAGGGGCATGTGGGGGTTGGCAGAAGGCTCAGGCCTTGTGGTCCCCTCCACAGGGTGAGCACTGGGACCAGGAAGATTTGATTGTGGTTTGGGGGCTGGACCCTTCATCTCCCATTCCCCTAATTCCTGGGCCCCAGAGAGCTAGCACGTACATGCAGGCATGCCTGGCTTTAAGTCATAGCATTTAGGGGAGTGGAAACCTGGGATCAGTGTGACCTAGGGTTCTGGAGTCTCATTTTTGTGTGAAAGTTGGGGGGGAGGAAAGAGCTATTTTTGTATTATAGCAGAGCTATGTTACTTGGGAGGGCGGCCAAAGACACGTGGCTTTCTCAAACCCACCAAGAGACTGGAAAGACATTGGAACTTGGAGGAGATCACTGTAGCTAACCCCACAGACCCCTGGGGTGGTATCGGAAAAGATCTGGGGTGCTCCCCACCAGGCTGCTCTGGATTGAGTCTGGCCCTTCTGTCCGGTAAAGCAGGATGCCAGGACTCATGTCTCTTTAGGCTTTGCACAACATTAATTGTACTTTGCTCCAAGTTGAGGTGTTTATGGAACAGAAAGGGGCAACAGGAGAGGTGCTCAGTGTCAGGCATCTTCAGTTTACCTTTGACTTGGAGACCTCGGGCAAGTTGTTTCATCTCTTCGGGCCTCTGTTTCCTCATCCGCAGAATGGGGTGAATGTTAGCCACATCCACTTGTTAAAGATGACAACTAAAGGGACAAAAAGCCCAGATCTTGCACACAGTAGGTGCTTCACCCTTAGGGGATCAAGCTTTGTGCAGGTTGAGACCTGGTGTGGGTCCCTCTTGCCTTGCCACATGGCCCTGGATAAGTCCCTTCCAGTGATGGGTGCCTAAGTTTGCAGGGCCTGTATATTGGCAAGTGGCTGTGTGTTTCCCATAGGCTGGGCTGCCTTGAGGGGCTTTGGAAGGTGGGGATGTTACCTGTCTGACCTCTAGAAACTCAAGTCACTGTCTAGCCCATCCCCCTCCCAACTCTGTTATGTTTCACAAGGAGAGCTTGGCTCCACCCTCTACCCTGGCTTGGTCAGAGATTTGTTGAGGCCCAAACCTTGAAAGTTGTCAGACCGTTGGGGTCGGGACTGCCCCATATCTCAGGCAATCTTTGTCCCAGAATTTTTCCTTACGGTACGAACGTGACTGTCATTATTCCCGAAATCAGACCTTTGATGGCTCCCTGCTACCCTCAGAATAAGTTCTAGCTTCTTTGCCTGGCATGCAAGGCCTTCCTCCACTGCCTTATCGCCTGTTGCCTCCCTTCAATTTGTACCCAGAAAGCTGCTTGTACCCCTGCTTCAGGCTCTTTCACACCCTGATTTCTTCCTCTAACACCTGTGGGTTGAACGTCTCTACAGCCTTTCACTCCCAGCTGAAGTGCTCCCTCCGTGACCCCCTCAGACTCCTGGTCACCCCCTTTGCTCACCACCTGACTATACACACCGTTGTGTACTCCTGCTCCGTGTTCATGAGGCTTAGTTTTCACTTTGGGTCCACGTCCCACACGGGACCAGGCAGAGGAGACAATCACCGAGAGTTTGACACAGGAAATTAGGGGTATCTCAGGACCCTCCCTGCAGAAAGAATTAAGGGGGACATTGCAGGGTTGCAAAGGGAGGTCCCTAGGGACAGCCCACTCTGACTACTTCTGCAGCCGTTCAAGCCCCGAACAGCCACGTAAGCCCTGGACAGCCATGTGAGGTGGGCCCTGTGTCTGAGCAGTTTCCTGTATGTAAGCCAGGAAGGGGCTCAGTGGGGCGGAGGCCGCAGGAGAGGGTCATAGGCGGAAGAGGTTCCGGGAGTCAGGTGCCTGAGCCCCTAGCCTACTGGGCTGGGATGGACCACTAGGGGAGGAAGAGCTGTTTCCTGGCGTCCCCCTGAGAGGGAAATGACTCTGCTTTGGAAATGGGTCCAGAGAAAGAGCTAGGGGCCCGGCCTTTCCTGGTTCCTGGGGGCCAGCCCCGGAACAGGAAGGTGGTGGGGTCCTGGGGTAGAGGAGCCTTGAGAGGAGGACATCCTGAATAGGGAAGTCCAGCTGGTCAGTCATGGTTGCTGATAGTCAATCAATAAACACCGTTGGCCAAGCAGATATAGTCACTACCCTGGTCAGCGCAAATCAGCTCCAGACAGGGTAGACTCTGGCCAGGCCAGTCTGGACAAATCAGCTGATAAAACACGGCTCGCACTCCATCAGGTGCTGAAGCAGGATTCTTAGGGTCTTGAAAGGCAAGCTGTGGTCCTCGAGTGCCAGGCTTAGGGGTGTGACACTTCCTGTGAAGTGGTGGTGGCAGATGCCAGGGTTTTAGAGTGCTTGCGATGGCTCTTCCTGGTGCCCAGCAGGCACTGGTCCTGAATGGTGACACTCTGAATCATAGATCTGTGGATATGCAGTGACTTGCCTGGGGCCTTGTAGGGATGGAGGTCATGACCTCTGGGGAGGGTACAGACAGAACTGACCTCCTGTCTGTCCCTGTTCCTCTTAGCCTGTTCTCCAGGATTCTTCAAGTCCGAGGCATCAGACAGCTCCTGCCTAGAGTGCCCAGAGCACACATTGCCATCACCCGAGGGCGCCTCCTCCTGCGAGTGTGAGGAAGGCTACTTCCGGGCACCAGGAGACCCACTGTCCATGTCCTGCACACGTGAGTATCCCAGAGGTCCAGGGAGGGGTAGCTGAGTGAGGGGCGGCCTGCCTGACCTCCATTCTCTGTGCAGGCCCACCTTCTGCTCCGAGCTACCTCACGGCTGTGGGCATGGGTGCCAAAGTGGAGTTGCGTTGGACAGCCCCCCAGGACACCGGGGGCCGCCAGGACATTGTCTATAGTGTCACCTGTGAACAGTGCTGGCCAGAGTCTGGCGAGTGTGGGCCCTGTGAGGCCAGTGTGCGGTACTCGGAGCCTCCTCACTCCCTGACCCGAACCAGCGTGACAGTCAGTGATCTAGAGCCTCACATGAACTATACCTTCGCTGTGGAGGCCCGAAATGGCGTGTCAAGCCTGGTGACCAGTCGAAGCTTCCGCACTGCTAGCGTCAGTATTAACCAAACAGGTGAGCCCAGGGTGGTGATTGGTGCTGGGTGGTGGGGGCACCTACCCAGGTGAGACTTGAGGACAGGTACCCAGGGGTTGGCTACACTCAGAGAGGCAGCAGAGCAAGTGGTTTCAAGTGCCATCTCTGCTGGGGGCGGTGGCACATGTCTAATCCCAACACTCATGCTGTGAAGGTGGAAGCAGAGGGATTGAGCTGAAGGGCAGCCTCAGCTTTGAGGCCAGTGTGGGATAAGTGAGATAAGTGAGACCCTGCTTCAAAATCCGAGGCAGGGGAAAGGCTGTGGAGATGGCTCAGTGGGTAAAGTACTTGCCATACATGAGGACCAGAGATTGGATCCTAGAGCCTATGGAGGTTGAGACAGGGAATCCCTGGAGCTGGCTAGCCAGACTAGACAATACATCAAGCTGTTGGAGATTCTGCCTCATATGCGAGCTGGAGAGCAATGGAGAGAGACACCTGACATCAACTTCTGGCATCTACATGCACATGCATGCATGTGAATGTTCACACACACATACACATGCAAAAAAAAAAGTGCCATCTTTGGAGCCACTCTGAGCTCTGGGACCATGGAGAAGTAGCTTAACTTCTGAATTTTTTTTTTTTTTTAGAAGAGGGCTGTTGAATATATATTATATCAGGGATAGGGGAGATGGCTAGGTTGGTGAGTGCTTGCTGTATAAGCATGAGGTCCTGAGTTTGAATCTTGGCACCCATGTAAATGTCTGACAGCACAGTGTGTGTGTGGCTATAATCCCAGTGCTGGGGACGCAGAGACAGGTGAATTCCTGAAGGTCATGGGTCAGCCAGCCTAGTGGAATCAGTGAGCTCCAGGTTCAGTGAGAGTCCTTGTCTCCAAAAATAAGGTGGAGAGCACCTGAAGAAGACACCAATGTCAACTTCTGGCCTTTACATGCATGTACACACATACATACATACATACATACATACATACATACCCACATGTATTGTGTGTTAAGCTCTGAGAGCCTTGACTGATTTCCAGAAGGATTCAGAGGCAACGAGCTATTGTTTTAGTTCATTATTTATGTGTGTTCATGAATACCCACAGGACCTCCGGTGGGCTAGCCTCTATGGTGGGCCAGGGTGGCATCTAAGCCCTGTACTCTGGAACTGGAAGTAAAGAGCAGGAGTGTTGGGAACTGGCTCTCTATCCTTGCACCACCCCCCCAGCAGATCTTCACACCCCTTCCTCATCTTCTTTCCTATTCAGAGCCCCCAAAAGTGAGGCTGGAGGGCCGCAGCACTACCTCACTAAGCGTCACCTGGAGCATCCCAGTTCCACAGCAGAGCCGAGTGTGGAAGTACGAAGTGACCTACCGCAAGAAGGTAACTAGCTGTGGGTCAGTGCTGGCCCTGCTGGCCATGTTGATGTTTAATTCACAGTCATTGGGAAAATGAGGTCTAGAGTATCCCAGGGATGCAAGCAGAGGACTACTATAGAGAGAGAATGTTCTGGGTCCTCAGAGCACTGGTCAGAGTGGGGGAAGTTTGGTTATTTGGGATCAACAGTCTTAGGCTTGTATCCTGGGGGTTGCATGTACCCTTTCTGGCCTCTCGTGAGTTGTTGCATTCTGAGCATCCATTTCCTCATCACAAGCGTGTCCATCTGGTTGGCTACTGCTGGCTGGGATCTCAGCTCTTTACCAAAGCTCTGCCCTGCCCTCACTGCCCGTTCCTCCACCCACAGGGGGATGCCAACAGCTACAACGTGCGCCGCACTGAGGGCTTCTCCGTGACCCTAGATGACCTGACTCCTGATACCACCTACCTGGTACAGGTGCAGGCACTGACACAGGAGGGCCAGGGTGCTGGCAGTAAGGTGCACGAGTTCCAGACACTGTGTGAGTTGGGGGACCAGGGTCTCTGTCTGAGCTAAAGAGTGGGGCATTGTGGGAGGAGGAACCAAGAGTTTAGAAATGCCCCCTTTTCTTTCAGCCAGGGCATGGGCCAGCTCTGTGTGGGGAGGTGCAGGGCTGAGAACAAGGGGTGTGCATGAGGAGAAAAAAGACTGTTGCTCTGGCATTGATATGCCCGAGTTCAAATCCTGCATAAGAAAGTACCAGAGCTGGCCTCGGGATAGAATTTAAATGATGGAGTGTTTACTTAGCATGCGCAAGGCTCTGGCTTCAGTCCTTAATGCTGCAATACACCAGGCATGGTGGCACATGCCTATAATCAGAAGGCTCAGGAGGTGGAGGCAGGAGGATCAGAAGCTCAGAGTCATCTTCAATCATGTAGTGAGTTCATGGCCAGCCTTTTTTTTGAGAACTTATCTCAAAAAAAAAAAACCCTAAAACTTAGGGTCCCCACTCCTGTGAGACCACTAGGAAGGCCCCCCCTTTTTTTTGCCTCATTGTGGAGTAGGAATTAATAGCCTAAGGCGAGGGACTTTAAAGAGATGGCTCAGCACTTAAGAGTCCATATTGCTCTTGCAGAGGACCTGAGTTCAGTTCCCTGCACCCGAGTTGGGTAGCTCACAGCCGCCTATAGCTCTAGCTCTAGGGGATCCAGTGCCCTTTTCTGACTGCCGTGAGCACCTACACTCACATGCATATATATATAGTCCCCTATATATACATATAATTGAAAATATACAATATATCTTTATAAATATCCTCAGGAGATGTGCAAGTAAAGCACACTATGTTGTAGACGGTCAGGCATCTCAGGTCCCCAGAGAGGGTCTTGGGTGCAGCAGGGTATGCTTCCAGGATTTGGGAGGAGGACTTCTGCTCATCAGCTGATCTTTCCAACAGCCGTGGAAGGGTCTGCCAACATGGCCGTTATCGGTGGTGTGGCTATCGGCGTTGTCTTGCTTCTACTTCTGGCAGGAGTCGGCTTCTTCATCCACCGAAGGTTTGTTACACCCACCCCCAGGTTCCCCAAAGGCTTGGGTAGGACACAGAAAGTCAGAACCCATTTCCCCACCTGAAAAACAGGCGATGGATATTTAGTCTTATCTGATCCTATGGGACTCCTGCCTATGGGAGGATGAACTGAGTTGTAGTTGCCTAGCACAGCTCCTGGCTCATCAAACAAGGCTAGGCCACGGCACTCACTGTCTTTGTTAACGGTGTGTCCAAACTTCCTCTGGATGTGCTGGCCAGCTCAGATGAGGAAAGCCCTCATTACAGCTGCTTACGAGGCCATTATTGGGTGTGGTCTCTAAGTGTGAGTCCAGGCTTGCTCACTTCCTCTGCCTTCTCCACACCCTCTGCCCCAGATGGAGGCTGAGTGGAGCGCTGGGCACAGTGAGGCCAGGGCACAGTCAGGAGGTCATTCTGGCCAGCGCAGGCCATACTGACCATATGTGTCTGGGTTCCGGGGGACTTCTTTCAGGAGGAGGAACCTGCGAGCCCGCCAGTCCTCTGAGGATGTCTACTTCTCCAAGTCAGGTGGGATTCGGCCTCCCCACTTACAGTCCCTGTACCCAGGAGCTTCCCAGGGGCTCACCTCTCTAGGAGCCCTCTCCAAACTGTCTGTGACTCAGCTTCTCCTTCTGCCTTGCAGAACAACTGAAGCCTCTGAAGACCTATGTGGACCCCCACACCTATGAAGACCCCAACCAGGCTGTGCTCAAGTTCACCACCGAGATCCACCCATCCTGTGTCACAAGACAGAAGGTGATTGGAGCAGGTGAGGCTCGCATACCCACTGTGTGCACCAAGGGGGCACGTGATGTGTGGTCTAGGCAGGACCTACCCAATACCCTGGCTCACTGGGGAACTCTCCCCTCCTTGCCTGTCTCCAGGAGAGTTTGGAGAGGTGTACAAGGGGACGCTGAAGGCGTCTTCAGGGAAAAAGGAGGTGCCCGTGGCCATCAAGACACTGAAAGCTGGCTACACAGAGAAGCAGCGTGTGGACTTTCTGAGCGAGGCCAGCATCATGGGCCAGTTCAGTCACCACAATATTATCCGCTTAGAGGGTGTTGTCTCTAAATGTAAGCCTGGGAGGTGTTCAGGGGTGGTCTTTGGTGGGCAAGGAGAGGGTTTATTCCCTAGGGCCTCTTGACCCTGGTTGTGCCCAGTCATGTGCCTACTGGCCTCCCTCTCACACCTATGTCCGTTGCCCTACAGACAAACCCATGATGATCATCACAGAGTACATGGAGAATGGAGCCCTGGACAAGTTCCTTAGGGTAAGGACGTGGTCTGTGGCAGGTAGGGTGGAGGCGGGGGTGTCTGGAGCCAGCCAGCACTGAGGGCCTGTGCTCTACAGGAGAAGGACGGTGGTGAGTTCAGTGTGCTGCAGCTGGTGGGCATGCTTCGGGGCATTGCATCTGGCATGAAGTACCTAGCCAACATGAACTACGTGCACCGTGACCTGGCGGCCCGCAACATCCTTGTCAATAGCAACCTGGTGTGCAAGGTGTCCGACTTTGGCCTGTCCCGAGTGTTGGAGGATGACCCTGAGGCCACCTACACCACCAGTGTGAGTTGGAGGAGGGGCTGTCATAGCTGTGCCTGGATGGCTCTCGGCCCATGGAGAAGGGGCTGTGATGGCCAGCTAGGACAGTAGTAACTGGGGCTGGATGTCCTGCAGGGTGGCAAGATCCCCATCCGCTGGACAGCACCAGAGGCCATTTCCTACCGCAAGTTCACCTCTGCTAGTGATGTGTGGAGCTATGGCATCGTCATGTGGGAGGTGATGACTTATGGAGAGCGGCCCTACTGGGAACTATCAAACCATGAGGTAGGCCCCTCTCCCAAACTGACCCACTGTCAAGCTTTTCCTCATTTCCAAACCCTGATGGAGGAGTTCTGGGATCAATCTGCATCCAGTAGAGGCTACATAGATACTTGTTTAGCAGCCTCCCATGTGGGGGACCCAACCCCAGTTTACAATGAGTACAAAGGCAGCGAACAGGGAGAGAAAGAGAGAGAGAAAGAGAGAGAGAGAGAGAGAGAGAGAGATGCTCGCCCTGTGTGTGTGTGTGTGCGCACATGCATGTACCTGGTACCTCACCCAGCCTGGAGATCTGTGACTCTGCTTGTGGGAATTGCATCCTTGCAGAGATCTGGAGCACAGTAAGCACAGGCTAAGACTTGGCAAGGGAAGAAAGCCCTAGATTAGAGAGGGAAGGAGGCAGGACTGTGTAGGGCACGTGGGACTGACCTGTAAGGATCTGGAGACAGCACCTCAGCACTTGCTCTATGGATGACTTTGAACTTGTGTGCTGACTTAAAGGATGCTTCTCTGGTCTGTTTCTGGGGTTCTGCTCACTCCCTACCTCCAATTCATTGGGGTCCCCCAGAGGATCTGGGCACCAGGCCTTCTTGCTGACGCCACCCTCACACTTGTGACCCCTAGGTCATGAAAGCCATCAACGAAGGCTTCCGGCTCCCCACACCCATGGACTGCCCCTCTGCCATCTACCAGCTCATGATGCAGTGCTGGCAGCAGGAACGGGCTCGCCGCCCCAAGTTTGCCGACATTGTCAGCATCCTTGACAAGCTCATCCGAGCCCCTGACTCCCTCAAGACCCTTGCTGACTTTGACCCTCGGTGAGTCCTGTGACCATGGTAACACCCGTTTGCTCCTGTGGACTCTTCAGCTACTTGGGTTGAGTGGTTGACTGTGGGAAATCGGATAGCAGGGGGCTCAGAAGTGACACATGGGCAGCTGGGGATGTAGCTCAGTGGGAGAGTTTGTCTAGCATATGAAACTCTGAGTTCAACCCCCAGTGACTTAAAAAAAACAACAACAACAAAAAAAAAACCCAGTCAGGCATAGTTCAATACGCCAGCACACAAAACCAGCTTAAATGTTCATGTGTGGGCACTGAGCTCAGCACATACCATGTTCTAACTCACTGAAGCATCCGGAGATGGGTTCTATAATTGCCCCCTTTCCATAGATGAAGGAACTGAGACACAGAGTGATTAAATAACCTCTTCTGGCTGACCAGTGGCCAGGCTAGGATTGTGATTCCAAGACCCAGAGTCTCAGCAATAACACTGCAGGATTTAGGGTTCCTGGTGATGGTCTTACTGTTAGGAGTGGAGGGATGGCAATAGCACCAGGCCACCAGGCCATCTCATGACTCTTCCTCATTTACCCAGAAGGAGAAACTGAGACACAGACAGCTGCATGTCCTGCCCAGGGTACAGAGCAGCAGGGTCAGGGCCTGGCGTGGGCCAAGCACAGCAGCCCCTCATCCATGGGCTGTGGGTTTCTATCCCAGAGTGTCCATCCGGCTACCCAGCACCAGCGGCTCAGAGGGAGTGCCATTCCGCACAGTGTCGGAGTGGCTGGAGAGCATCAAGATGCAGCAGTACACAGAGCACTTCATGGCGGCTGGCTACACAGCTATTGAGAAGGTGGTGCAGATGACCAATGAGTGAGTAACAGCTCCCCAACCTGCTGCTCACCTCCAGGGGCTGCCCGTGACCCTCTGTTGCTTTCTCTCCTCTCCTTCCCTCTCCTCCCTTCTCCTCTTCCCCTCTCTCTTTCTCTCTCTCTACTGAGTACTCTCCCCCTCTGCCTCCTGCTCCAGAGTGGGAAAACACCAGTACATATAGCTATCCCAAGGCTGTCAGGTATAGAGGGCTGACTGTGTGCTCGCCCTGGGCTGCAATACACCCAGAATCACCCTTTACACAGACTCAGAAGGTCGCCTGTGAATAGCCCTATGGACAGGTGAATAGCAACTTACTTACCCAAGACCCTATAGCTACAAGAAGAAGCAGGAATTGTAGCCCTGGTCAACTGGGACCCAGAGCACAGAGATCACAGATCCCTGCATGTCATGGCTGGTGTCTGGGATCACGGGCCCTGCCAGCCACTTCCTGGCCATCCTCCCCATGTGATTGGCCCTTAACCCTGTCACTCATCCCTTGCTGGCCCTGGGCTTGCCCTGAGTCAGGCTGTCCCTCCCCAGTGCTCTTCTCCTCACCCCAGCTCCATCACTGTGACCCTTCCCAGCTCAGCCTTGGCAGGGACATCTCTTCCTGTCCCTGGAGGGACATGACATTGTCCTTAGCCTTTGTGCTTCTAAAAATAGTGATGGGTTCCAACAGCCCAGTATGTGTAGTGTCCAAGGCCATAGCAGAAGCAGGCCCTGCATGGGAACTGCATGGAGTTGGTGACCTGGGCTTTTTGTGGTTCTGGATCACAGAAGCTCTGGGACTTGGGCCTATGCATGAACATTCTCCAGGACCCCTGACAACCTCTCAGCTGTGCTTCTGACCTCTTGGCCATGGCTCTGGCCAGCCCAGAAATGACAGGTCATGGGAATTAGATAGGGAGGGTGGACCAGTGGGAGGTATGGGGATACGAGAGGAACGGGATCCCAGGATATCGCTTGCTGCCAATCAATAGTAGGGCTCACACCAAGTAGACACACCTGAGTTCATGTTCCATGCCTGCCACTTCCTAACAAGTAACACTGATCAAATTTGGTCCAATTTTGACCTTGGTGCCCATTTCTCATAGTAAGGAATGCATGGGTATGACTCAGGTGATGTGTCCAGGACATCTCAGGGTCTTGATCCAAATCTCCTTTGTTCACTTACTCCTGTGGACAGATAGGTCATGGTCACATACTCTGGTGCTTGAGCCCCTCTGTTTCCCTGGCAAGCTGGGTCAGCCCCCTTGATTTCTCCTGGTCCTCTCCCCCAGGATAACACAGCTTTTCTCCTGGTGCCAAAGCAGAAGGGTTTACAGGAAACACATGTTCTTAGAAACATCCCGAAATAGCCCGGGGCGCCCCTCGCCAAGTCCTTTCCCACGAGCTGAGACAGGCTTCTGGATGGACAGGCTTTGTGTGCACGAGCAGGTTGTGTGCGCGCACATGGGTTGTTTGGAAAGGGCCTGGATAAAGCCAGGAAGTCATTTAGCACTCCTTCCTCCTCCCACTGGAGCAGAGAGCTGGGACCCATGGACTCACAGGGCTGCCTCTGACTCTCGGAGCACTTTTTAAACCCTCAGACTGGGTTGACCACACATGATCCCAACAGGCTCTGGTGGCAAGAGAATTCGATTCCTTCCCAGTAGGGTCAGGGTTTTGGAGTTCAGTACCCCTGTCCTTCTCCTTTATGGCCTCCCTTGCCTTCCTTGACCACCCTCTCCCAAGGGACTAGCTACTTCCCATGATCCCACAGCAACCATCTCTTCTTGACTATTTCCTGCTATTTTGGACTTGGTTGGGTTTCTAGCTAGATGAGATCAAAATGATCTTTGGAGGAACTGATGAAAAAGGTGTGTGTTGTACCCAAGGAGAAACAGCAGCTCCAAGACAGGCCCTGCCCAGCATTAAGGTAACAGCATGCAGTGTCCTTTGTGCAGGCTCAGAGCACAGACACAAGCTGGTGGTTCTTAAGGTTTGGGGAACACTTGCTGTGTACATGGCTGATGCCACTCTTGAGTCTCTGGGAACCATTTCTCACATACCTACATGCACATAGTAGGTGTTCATGGGCACACTGATTGGATTTCTAGCACTGTGTAAGCACTCAGGAGAAAGACAGATGGAAAAGTGTCCTGGCTTATGTCTCCTCACTCCTGGGCAAGGTTTGATGGGACACCTGCTCTGTATCCCTGAGGGGGAACCTGAGGTGGGAATAGGGACCAGCTTGAACCCTGGCATGTCTGTGACCTTCACCCCAGTGTGGTGTTCTGTCTGTGATCAAGAAAGAAGGGAAGGTTTGAGGGCTTTGGGGAAAAAGCACATTTCTCAGAAGGGAATCATCCAAGCCTTACTTTTCCATAAAAAGAAACCGAGGCACAGAGGTAGGACCAGACCCACCAAGGCTTTGACATGAGTCCAGGCCTAGAATCTTTAGAACTCCGCCTCCCAAATAATCAACAGAGGCAAATTTAGCTCCTAGCCTGTGAGATGAACTGTTCTGCTGGGGCAAGGGCCTGGAGGTAGCCCAGCAGTGCTCAGCCCCCACAGTGGCGTTCATGTGCTCCTTTATTCAGTGACACTTCTTGGGGACCTGGCATGTTTGGGGGCTCTCCTGCATCCTGGAGAGGGCAGGGTGGGTTCTCAGCCGGTAGCCTCCTGAAGTGTACTAAATCTAGTGGTTCTTAAACAGAACTACAGGGTCTTCTGGATTCCAATCACATGTGAACGCCCTGCCTACCTCTGGCTTCTAGTTGTAGTAGGTCTAGTGCCCAGGACCCTGCCTTTTCTTGCTTCCCTAGTGGTCTCTCCAGTGCTTATCCAGGCCTCACATTGTGATTCCCTCCAGGAATGGGGGAAATGCCCGAGCTGTATAGGGTAGATGTGTGACTTTTGTGGTAGATCTGGAAGTTCTTCCCTAAATCTATCTTCTGGTCTTCCCGCTGCAGTGGGAATAGCTCTCCCTTCTCCCTACCTAGGTCTGCCCATCCCCTGCTCAGTGCTCAGCTCTTTCCGAGCCTGTGGGAAACTCATGTCTTCGGCATGGCAAACAGGAGCTTACACCATATAATTAGCTCCATTTACAGCTAAGAGCCGGCCCATAAAAACCTGGGTGTTTTCATGAGTTTGGGCTGGTGGGTGAGGACGGTGGAGGGGAGCACTCCAGAGGTTAGCAACAGACATCCTGCTGATGGCTCCTGGTTCTACCTAAGATGGAGGGGTGTGGTGGGAAGGCCAGGACAGCCCACCCCTTCCTCATGGGCCCCCTGCATCCTGTTGGCAGGCTAGCCTCAAAGCCTTCCCTGTTACCTCCAGCTTCAAAAGTCTCCAGAATCCCACAGGGATAAGATACCTGCCTCAGGTGACCTGGTCATTGGAGATGACCTGCAAGCCCTGCCTATCAGAATCTAGCAGAGCCTTCACCCTTGAAAGCCCTTCAGCAAGTGCTTCCTGAACCTCTGTGGGGAATGAGAGAGTGTGGAGGGACTTGAGGCTGTGGATGGGGAGATGCCTTGGGTGGAGGGGCTTGGCACAGACTCCTAGAGGGTCCCTGGAAAGCCACCATTTTCTGTGTGACCTTGGAAAAGTCTCTTCCCTTCTTTGAGAGACAGGGATAAAATGGTCATCTAAGGCTAGGGAGATAGTTCAGTCAGTAAAGTGCTTGCCTCACAAGCATGAGGACCCGAGTTCGATTCCTAGAACTCACATTAAGAAAGCAGGGTGTGGTGGCATGCATTTGGAATCCTGGTGCTGAGGAGGTATAGACAGGAAGGTTCCTCAGGCTCACCAGTGAGAGACCCTGTCTTTAAACAAAGTGTCAGGGTATGGTGGTACTCACCTTTAATCCCAGGCAGAAGTGGACAGATCACTGTGAGATTGAGGCCAGCCTGGTCTACATAGTGAGTTCCAGACCAGCTGAGGCTACATAGTACAACCCTGTCTTAAAGAAAACTAAACCAAACTAAACAAAAATTCCCTAAGAGATACCTCAGTGAGGTTGTGTTCTAGCCTATACATGCATGTGTACACATGTGAGCCACACACACATGAATATATATATATATATACACACAAAGAGCACCTACCTAATGCCCCTTGTGACGTTGTGATTAGAGAAAAGACTCACAGAACAGGCATTTCTATCTTTTTCCCAGCTTGGTTGACAGCAGGCCACATTAGTTAGATTTTAGGATGTGAACCGTCCTACTTCTCTAACTGGACCTCTCACCTACAGGTCCCCAAGGCCTCTTCCCCATCCTGTTTTCCTCTCTGCCTCCCTCCCCCAACTGCCCAGAGTGCCCAGTTCTGTCCCCTTTGGTCCTTAACTTTCCCTCTCTCTCTCTCTCTCTCTACCTACAGTGACATCAAGAGGATTGGGGTGCGGCTTCCTGGACACCAGAAGCGCATTGCCTACAGCCTGCTGGGACTCAAGGACCAGGTGAACACAGTGGGGATCCCCATCTGAGCCCCCAACGGGGCCTCGTGCCCGCCTCGGCCAACAATACTTGAAGAAACATAGTGGTCTTACTGCCGACTCTGTGCCAGGCCACTGGACCTTATTTATTTCCAGTTCTCCCTCATCAGTGCCACCCTGAGCTAGGGAATCGCTCTGATGCTGGACCAGGGATCAAGCCAAGCACTTAGCAAGTACTGAATTCCCAGCATCCCCTGGGACTGGAGTGAGTGCCATCAAGACTATTGAAGTTCCCTCGGGACATATCTGAACTGACCTCTTGGTCACATTTTCCCCCAAGAAGTCACTTTGGGAGCTGGGGTTCTGAGGGGAAGCATTCAGCCCAGGACAACATATGGCTAAGGCACCCTAAGCCCCATCCTTTAGTGTCAAAGGACAGATTATGAACTTGGCTGGGCGGGGGCCATGGTGATCTTCCAGTGCCTTCTGCAGACCCTGGGCCCTGCCCGTAGCCCCCATGGGCCAGTCTCTGCTTTCCTGGGGCCCTTTCAGGATGCTTGGTTGTGTTGAGGTTTTTTAAATATATATTTTATACTTGTGGGAAGAATGAGTGTATGACAGACTGTGCCAGGGCTGGGGGCAGATGATGCCATGCAGCAGACATTCCGAGCTGGGGGCTGGCCAGGCTTGCAGGAGGAAGTGTCACTGCCCAGCCATCCCTTCCCTAGCCCCTTTAGACCACTGTCACTGCGAATGCTGTCAGTGTTACTGATTTGTTCTGTTGGGTATTTTTTTTTCAAACCTTAATTTATTATTTTTTTATATTTATTGTTAGAAAACGACTTATTTCTGCTCTGGAATAAAGTTGCAGATGGTTCAAACTGATCTTGGCTTTCAATCTTGGGGCACTAGGTGGGGTCTGAGGCTGCCTCTGTGGGAGGATGAAGGTCACCCCCACAGCTCTGAGTATTTAAATAGAGCTGCTTGCATAAGAGGCTGTTGTATCACCCTGGGAGAAAGGGTGGGTGGGAGAGGGCAGGGGGCCAGGGAGCGAGCCCTGGCTGGGCCTCCAGGCCAGCAGGCCCAATTACCTTTCATCTTGCGGGTTCTTGCAAGGCCGAAGGTAACAATGAGAACAGCTGTCAGCCTCCCTCCCACGTGGGCTCTTCCATCACCTATGTGGGTTCTGAGGTTTGCAAAAGCTTTCACAGTTTTTGTCTTGTCGAAGTCTGCGATTTCATGAATATTGTGAGTGTGCCCCATTTTAAATATTTTATTATTTTTATTTTTGTGTAGAGTGTATTGCCTGCATGTGTATAAGTGCACCCGTGTCATGCAATGCTGGAGGAGGTCAGAAAAGGACATCAAATCCCCTGGAACTGCAGTTATGCTTATTAGCTGCCATGTGGGTGCTGGGAATCGAACCTGGGTCCTCTGCAAGAGCAGTCAGTGTTCTTAACCACTGAGCCATCTCTCCAGCCCCAAGTCCCACTTTACAGAAGAGGAAAACTAAGGCTGAGCCCAGTGACCAGACTTGCCTGAGGTTGCACAACAAATTAGGAACAAAGATCAGAACTGAAAGAAAGGCCAGGAACCCCAGGGACTTACTTTTCCCAAAGAGACTGAAGCTCAGAGACTTGTTCAAAGTTACACAGCAAAAGGCCTCAAGGGAAGTCAATCCCAGTTTCAAACCCTAAGCATTTGCTTCTCTAGCAGACTTACATGTCAGAAATCACTCATAACAGGGGCTTAGATGATAGATGCTGAACACAGGGGACCAGGGAATGACCAGGTGAGCAGAGCTTCCAGGGGAAGGCTTCCTGAAGGAGGGGACCCCAGAGCTGAAGCCTCTGGACTAGGAAGAATTAACCAGTAGGCAGTGCGAAGAAGCTGTGCAGGCTCAATAGGGTGCGGGGGTGTGAAACCACATGATTTTGCAAGGGAGCCACAAGCAATTTGATGTTATTAAGGCATGACGTGGGATGCTGGAGAGGTCTCCAGGACCTTGCAAGGCAGGTCCAGGAGTGGGGATTTTAGGTTGAAGGCAATAGGGAGCCACTGAAGGTTTTAAGCAAGGTGTGGCATGATTATAGTCAGGCAGGCTCAGAACTCAGGCCTCCCAACTGAGCCTGGAGTTGTGGGAGACAGAGGAGAGACGCTGGCAAGGATGAAAAAGCACTCAGCTTGCCCTGGGGTGTTGGGGCTGGCCTGCTCTGCCCTGACTCCCTGCTCCTGCAGGACAGCTGGCGCCCCTCTGGGTCCCAGCCCACTGAGCACTGGTGGGGACGTGCCTGTGTCAGGTGTGGCTGGGGATGGGTGAGGCTCGGGCACTCAAAGCAGTGGCTTCCGCCCGTTAGAGCCAGGCCACCAGGGTGTACTGGGCACAGTGGCTGAGTCAGGACTTCTGTGTCTGTCCCTTGCCTGACCTGGCCTTGTGACTACTGTAGCTTTGGTGATAGGGCAGGGCCACCACTGACAGTCTGATTTCCAGAGCTTGCAAGCTGTGTTAATGCAGGCTCTGAGGGAGCTTGGAGATTCTGTCCCCAAGTGACCACTGTGACCAGACATGGACTGTCAAGCCCTGATGGACATAAGGCCTTCCTAAGAACCCATGATATGGTACAAGATGGGGACCATAGATCGTCCAGTGCTCAAAGGCCAGTGGGCAGCTGCCTGTATTTCCATTGGCTCCCTTAATCAGTAAGAATAGAAACCTTATTTTCCTATTTTCCTTTTTTTTTTTTTTTTTGGACTTTTTGAGACAGGGTCTCCCTGTAGCCCCAGTTGACCTGGAACTTACTACGTAGACCAGGCTGGCCTCAAACTCACAGAGATCCGCCTGCCTCTGCCTCCCAAGTGCTGGGATTAAAGGCGTGTGCCACCATGCCTGGCTTATTTTCATTTTTTAATGATGATGATGATTATCAATGTGTGTATGATATATGTGTGTGAATGCAGATGGATGTGTACTGTGGCACGTGTGAACATCAGAGGTCACCCTTTTGGGAGTCTGTCCTTTCCTTCCACCTTGGGATCCACCAGAATTGAACTCGGGTCATCAGGCTTTCGTGGCAAGTGCTTTTACCCACTGAGCCATCTTGCTCATCTAAAACTTCATTTTTATTTATTTGTTTATTTATTTATTTTTTTTTTTTTTTGAGACAGGGTCTCCCTGTAGCCGCAGCTGACCTGAAACTCACTATGTATACCAGGCTGGCCTTGAACTCACAGTGATCTGCCTGCCTCTGCCTCCCGAGTGCTGGGACTTTTAAAAGCATGCCAGCCTCAAAACTGCATTTTTAGATGAAAGCAAACCCAGGTCTGTCCCTGTAACCACTAGCAACCCAGCCTTAGGGCTCCATTTTCTAATAAAAGGAGCCAAGGTTTCTGGGAGAAATCGCTGAGCCCAGACTCAGACAGTGAAGGTTCAAGATGAGCCGGAACATCTACAGGGAATGAGGAAGAGTTGGAAGGATGGGCAATGGGCTATGTCAGAGACGGGAGCAAGCGGAAAGAGCCTCCCGTGGGCAGGTCTACAGCAAGGTGAGCAACAGAGTAAATAAGGTGAGATCACATATGGAAGAAATACACATGAGTTCATGCTCCTGCAAATAAACAACTGAACTGACAAACAAGAGGGGAAGAGAGACGGGTGAGGTGGCACACCCCTGTGATTCCAGCACTCGGGAGGCTGAGACAGGAGGACTATAAATTTGAGACCAGCCTGAACTACGCAGAGAGACCCCATTTCAAAAATAAATAGACTGGGGCAGGGGGCTGGAGAGATGACTCAGAGGTTAAGAGAACTGACTGCTCTTGTAGAGGACCCTGGTTCAATTTACAACACCCATATAGAGACTAACAACCATCCATATCTCCAGTTCCAGGGGATCTGACACCCTCTTCTGACCTCTGTGGGCATTGCATGACATGGGTACACTTACATGCAGGCAATACTCATGCACATAGTATAAAAATAATAAAAAATATTTAAAAAGATAGGTTCAGCAAGATAGCTCAGAAGGTAAAGATGTTTGCTACTAAGCCTGAGGACCTGAGTTCAATGCTTGGGGTCTCACATGGTGGAAGGTGAGAAATGACTCCTGCAACTTGTCCTCTGACATCCATGCATGCACTGTGGCACACGCGTGTGCCCTGCAACAATAAATAAATATAGTAAGATAGATAAATAGATGGATACATAGACAAATCTTTCTTCCAGATTTCTAAATAATTCCTGTACAGTGGGGAGAGCTCACTTTACCACTCCTTTGAATGTTAACGGGGGCCTTTAAAGAAAGGAGGTGTGGAAGTCTAAGGAGAGTTACAATAAAAAAAGAAGGAACTTGGCACGCTTTGCCGTAACCAAGTGATCAAAGTCAACATCAGAGCAAAAAGCAAAGAAACGGGCTGGAGCAGGAACACCGTGGGTGATCATAGCTAAAGCCCAGTGAGCTGCCCGCCACCAGCCACTGCTTCCTAAGTTCCTGTCCTGTGCTGCTCAGTCCTTCCAGCAGCCCTTTCAGGCAGGTACCGTTGGTATTCTATTTTAGAACATTGGATACCAAGGCCAGGGGCGATGCAGAAATCACCACAGCCACCTGGCTCCTCGGTGCAAGAGTGACATCAAGCCTGTGAAGCCCATTTGCCATTTTGAACCACCCAGACAGGACTCTCCCCCTCTACCACCCTGGGCTTCTCCCTAAAAAAGGTCTAAGAGCTACTGACATGGTAGTGCAGGTCTGTCAACCTAGTGCTTGGTAGGTGGGAAGCAGGAGGATCAGGATTTCTTGAGCCTCGGCTACACAGGGAGTTGGAAGGCAGTCTGAGCTACGTGACACTCTGTCTCAAAAAAAACAATCAAGATAGAGCTGATGTGGTGGCACAGGCCTTTAATGCCAGCACTTGGGAGGCAGAGACAGAGACAGGCAGATCTCCATGAGTTTGAGGCCAGCCTGGTCTACATAGTGAGTTCCAGGCTAGCTGGGGCTACAGGAAGACCCTGTCTCTAAAAGACCAAAAAAAAGAAAAAAGAAAAAGAAAAAAAAAAAAAACACAAACAAATAAATACAAGAGAGAGGGGGCTAGAAAGATGACCCAGAGGCTAAGAGCACTTGATGTTCTTGCAGCATCCACATTAAGTGGCTCATAATCATCTATATCTCTGGCTCTAGGGGATCTGACACCCTCCTGTGGCCCCCAGGGGCAACTGCACTTATGTGCACATATACAGACACATACATAAAATAATAAATATTTTACAAAAAACAAGAGAGAGGAAAGGAGGCGGGGCTGTGGGGAAAACAAGTTCCTGCCTATACCCCAAGCACCCAGATGGTTTGCAGTTTGGTTCCTCCCTTCCTGGTGACTTCCTGCTTTATGCCAGGCCAGCATAGGGGCCAGACATGAATGAAGCCCCTCTCTGTCTCCCACGGGCCCTCAGTCTGATAATGACAATGGAGAGGGAACCAAACTTGGGGAAAGGAGTCCCAGGAGGCCACCTGACCCCCAAATCCAGGCAGGCTTCCTGGAGGAGAGACCCCAGCAGCTGAGGCTAAAGTGGGGAAAGCCCACAAGGTGGGGAGACAGGCACGTACCCCAGAAGAGACTGACCCTGCCTTGACCTCTAACCTCCATGGGTGAGGCTGAGCCTCCCCTCTACACCTGTGCCTCATTTGGTTTGGACAAGTCTCTATTATCTCTATTGCCACACTAGCTGCTTGGTGATCCTGCTGCCAACAACCCTATGACACCAGCCTGTTCACCCTCCCCGGAACAGAACAGCATGCCTCTCCCCTCAGTCTTGTCAGCTGGACAGTGGGTACGAAGTTGGCTGCCCTTCCAGGGCTCTGGGCTACAGGGACTGTTGCAGCCTTTTGACGAGC